GATAATAATACGTTCCTCTCTAGGATTGGACCTTTAAAAAAATAAACGAGATGCGACACGACCGAATAAAACTCATAATTGCGTGGCCCTTACTTTAAATGTTTATATACGTAGAACTCGGGACGTGCCATTTAGCGAATTTTCATGGCCTCCCGCAAAGTTAATAATACGTTAGTCGCTTTAGGCGCGCTTTTTAATAATTTTACCTTCCTAAGTACGGGTGTGCATTTCATGCAACCCAAATCCGAATCCCAAAACGTTGAATAAAATGTGTCGAGGATCCGGGTGCATTTCATGTGACGTGATCCAAAAATACGTTTTAAACAATGTTCACTTTCTTAAAATTTTTAATTGAAAGCGGTGAATAATTCTAAAATTGCACTATAGGATGACATGTATGAAAAAAATCAGATTTTAGCCATTTATAATAATTTAAGCGACCAGGCTAGAACCACGGGATCCGGGGGTGCCTAACACCTTCCCTCGGGTCAACAGAATTCCTTATTCAGATTTCTGGTTCGCAGACTCCAACTAGGAAGTCGAAATTTTTCTCGATTTGGGATTCAAGTTAAAACGGTGACTTGGGACACCAAAAGCCAATCCTATCCCAAGTGGCGACTCTAAATCAAATAAATAATCCCATTTCGAATAATGTCACTTTAAATGGAAGAACTCCCATATACATTATCCTTCGGGGTAGGTGTGTAAAAAAGGAGGTGTGACACCCATGCTCAAAGACTCATCTGGTGCAATAATTATCGGGTGCACCTCTACGAGTAAAATTGGTTGTTCAAATTCCACTTCAGACGGACTTATTTTCGGCACAGGGCATTGATATATACGTGAAAATTACCAAAAATTTTAAAACTGGCATTGATATATAATTTTTAAAATGTAGTGAGTTCATGGTAAGAGACTAAAGTAAAACACGTGATTCTAGATCCACCTCTTCACACTAGTGCACCCATCCTCTTGAAATCCTGGATCCGCCTCTGCTACTGGCCACCTTAAACTCTTTTCCTTAGTGGCAACTGTTTTCAGTAGTTCTTTCTCACTATTAGGAGCTCTTACAATGCTTGAATAGAAGGACAAAAAGAAACTGCACCTAAATTAGTCCATAATTCATAGTTGTACAGGTTGCCATATGCTTCAGAACCTTCAATATTTGGTTTTATCTTGGATTGAACTGTTACTTTATAGTACTGAAGTCAAACTAAAAGTAAAAGAAGTTAGTCTCAGGCCATGCATTGATCACAACAAGACATAGTAGCTTGAATTAAGTCAATGAAGTCAGTACTGATGATCTCCAATTTGGCCCTTTGGTTTAACACCACCTACCAAAGGAAAACGAAAAGTTCTATTAGCTACAGAAAACACTATTGTCATCTTTTAATTTTCTAATACCTCTTCTTAAATTAATTGAACATGATAAGGTTGATATAGTACCACTTGATTCCCTTGGCTTTTGGCCATTCCCCACTTTCTAGATTAGGCATTTTGATGTAAATATGTGTTAAATCTAGTATTCAATTTGTATTTTATATGCGTAGTTGCAAGTTGCATCATTTTTTTTTCCCCACTTTTGCATCTGCACAACTGACGAGGAGAAGAAAATTAATTGACCAGTTAACAACATGGAATTATGTATGTGAGAGGACGGGCTGACGAGGGCGGATCAAGCAAGACTTGCAAGCAGGAGCGGATTTAGGGGGGGCGAAAGGGGGTTCGCCCCCTTCGTCGGAAAATTACACTAGCAAAATCTGTTATGTACCTCTATATATTGTATTTTGAATTCCCTTGACACAACTAAAAAGCATAACTTAATGGTCACGGGGGTTCAAAAGCTTTGTAAGATCACAATTCAATTCCCTCTAGCCACAATTTCTTCTAATATTTTAACTTTTTCTCTTTTGAACCCTCTTATCGGAAAGTTTTGAACCCCCTTATCGGAAATCTTGCCTCCGCCACTGCTGGCAAGCTCCTGAAGAAGGGCTATCAGCGCTTTCGGAGCTGCGAACTCGCCACTTCTTTATGTAATCTTCCTAGCAGTCTCTGTCTAGGTTGACATGTCACCTTAGACGAATCGCACAATGAGAGAGGAAAGTGAATAGCTATATAAGGCATGAGACAAGTTCACATGGTACGCGTGCTTTTGTGGCTCGAGAAGATGTAGCCCAAAAAGACAAATCCGTGGGGGCTACGCCCAAAGCGGACAATACGTGCCATGGACTTGAATCGTGACAATTTCAGACGTGATACAACGAATTGAACACAAGAACTCAACTTCTATTTCAAAACCATTCCGAGAACTATAATAAACTAATTAGTTGGCAGCTCAAAATGTTTGGAACAAACTCAGATGGTTAATAATGACTCATGAGATGCAGAAGATTTAGGTGCTTAGTACTTGCTCCGTGTCACTATACATGTTAATGTTCGACTAGATATGAAATTTAAAATATTTATTTGACTAATAATTATGTTAGTAGTGAAACAAAATATTGAATAACTCCTTCCTATATAACTCCTGATCCTAGTTTCAGTTATGTCCTCTTCCTAAGAGACCTTCTGGGAATTTACTTGATTGGCTTAAAGGTAATAAAATCCTCAAACATACAATGTTATTTATGTCTCTCAACTTTTCACTCTGATAGTGTAGAAAGTTACATACTCTATAAAATTCTGGCATGTCTTGACTATAAGGCCCCTCAAAATTTCCTAAAAGTAGAAGACTTTAAACTGTGCCAATGGAGAGTAGAAGTAACATTTTTGCATACCAAAAGAGACTGTGGACTAGCACCAAATCATATGAATCATATCATATATCATAATATCATACTTACTACTGGATTATAAGTGTGAACAACCTAAGTTAAAGTTAATTTACCAATTTATCCATTAAAAGCCGAATGACGATTTTACCCAGAGACGGATCCAGGATTTGAGCGAAGTGGGGGCACTGCTATTAACATAGATATGTCAACTAGTAACGATAAAATCTGACGTGCTAACTCCATGAAAACTTAATGATTTTGAGTTAGTGACCGGAAGGATATTCAAAAATATCATAAACTTAGAGCCCGTTTGGCCAAGCTGCTAAAAACTACTTATTTTGAAAAGCGCTTTTATTCAAAAGTGCTTTATGAAAAAGTAATTTTGCAAAATAAGTAGTTTGTGTTTGGCCGATTCGTTTGAATGGTGCTTTNTAAAGCACTTTTAAGTATCAAATTACAAAAAAGAACAGTAAAGGTTCAATTTGCGATTAGTATTATTTAGAAAAGAAAAATTAAACATTTAGTAGAAAAGAATTCAATTAAAATATAAAACGTAAAGTAAAAAATATAAATTAGAAATTCTAATTAATATAAATATAGTTATTCCAAAGCAACAATATTGAGTGTTTGGTATTACTTATTACTTACATGATAATTTAAATATGTCAAAATACATCATTCAGTATAAATTTAAAATCTACTCTTAAGAATAGGAGAAAGAGAATAAAAAAATTTGATTAAAATAAAAAAGAGAATAAATGTATAGCAGAAAAAAAAAGGAAAAGAAAAAGAAAAAAAAATTAAATTAATGAGGGATAATTTGAAAAATATAAATTTATTGTAAGGTTATTTTTGTCTTGAATAAATTAACTTTCTGCTTCTGCTTCTGTTTTTTGGAAGAAGCTAGAATTTGTAGCTTCTCCTCAGAAGCAGAAAAACTGTGTTGCTAAGAAGTACTTTTTCATTTTGGCCAAACACGTTAAATTTTTCAAAAAGTACTTTTTTGGCCAAAAAAAGTACTTTTGGCCTCCTAGAAGCTTGGCCAAACAGGCTCTTAGTCTAATAACATCAAGATTAAAGGTTTGTCAAATAGTCCAAGCAAAGTCTCGGTCATTGCCGTTGAATCGACCGATATCTGCTACTTTGTCGAAGTGATCCTTGAAGGCAAAAAGGATTTTTGGAGTTTTTTTATTATTGTTTTTGGGGGAAACTTTATTGAATTAGTTATTTTTGTACATGTCAAGAAAATAGTAATGCTACTATTCGTGTGGAAGTTGACTACTTTGTTCTAGGGCTAAATAATTGTATATTAATTCTAGTGCTAAATAAGCATTTATGAACTTAGAAAGGATAACCAGAAAGAAAACCAAGATGAGCACTAAATACAGGATTCTATTCAAGCACTGGTGCTCGGTCTCGAACCCAAGTCATATAGGGAGTGAGGAGATAAATGCGGAATGCCAAACAAGCGAAGCAGTCCACCTTTTGTGTTTGGGGGCACATCAAATTTATTTAAGTGGTCCTTGTTGTATATACATAATTTTTGTCGAGGCCAACGGGTTCCGATTACCCTGTACTCCCCAAGTAGGTCCGCCTCTGAGTTCACCTCTAAATATAAATTATCTCTTCAAAATTAATGTATAAAAATGTAAAAACACTAAATTATTATATCCAATGCATTTGGAACTCTTTAGCATGGGGTATCTTAATTAGTATTCCCAAATTAATAATGATTCTTATTATGTTCCATTAAACTAATGAAATGTTTTGGAATACAAACGGACATGAAGGAATGAGAGTTATGTCTTTTCATTTTAAGGTGGATATACATAAACAGAGAAAAGACATGAAGCAAAAATGTAATGACCGAGTTCCGGGGACAATTTATATACATTGAATTTAATAAAATTATCAAATGAGAGAAAAGTCAAAAAAAAGGAAGAACAAAAAAAAAGATATATATATATA